CTATCTAACAACTGTGAAGATTCTAAACTAACACGAGTCTCATAAGTGTCCAATTTAAGGGTATTACACAGAAACACACCACAATGACATGAATCAATTATGTACTTTTATTCATTTACAATAAATGTCAAAAGATACATCAATCTGATTAGAGTTAAGGGCATAACTGTCTAACAGCTAAATACTGTAGCTGATGGCCTAGCTAAGGCTGGAGTTCAAAGGGATTATTTTTATCCTTTAGGTTCCATGTTGTACATCTTCTCATGTACTTGTCTTCTAATGAATTCAGTTACTCTTTTTCTAAAAAAACACTTTTTTATTTGGTAGCAGTCCTAGTTAAAATGAGAATCTGTGGTACATAATATAAACATTTTTCATTAAAATATATGTAAAAATCAACTATAACAAATTATTAGAAAAGTCAACAATTTCATATGGGGGCATTATTTCCTCTTCCAAAGGAAAATATTTAACAAGCCAAAGTATTGATAAAATGAGAATCTATGGTACATATATAAACTTAGTACACCCCTCTGCTTATGTATGTGTGTGTCTACCTRTTTGTGGTTTCTAGTGATGAGATATATTCCCTATTACATCAGTCAATCACATTATGCAACTGTGAACTAAAGGCCTTAAAAGAATTTAGAAAGGCAAGTGATGGAGTGATGGAAGATTGTAGTTTGTTAGTGTTCATTAAGAGGTATTTCTTTCACAAGGAATAAGGAGAAGTAAGATGATGTTGAACTATTGGGACAATCCAAAGCAAGTTACACTATTGATCACCAACAGAGCTAGAAGTTCTTTTTCCAAGGCTGGTTTACAAGAGAAAATACTAAAAAAAATTGAATCCATTTTTCAAATGAGCCATATTAGGAAATATCGTACCAAGCTGAGGGTGTTTTTGTATAATTCCTACAAAAGATCCTTAGGGGCACTGGACAGCCCCATTTTCCTTTTTGTCCTTTACCTTAAGCCTTGTTTTTCTTGATCAGCAATAGAAAAATAAATATTTTATTGAGATATAGAATCGGGATATTCACTGATATATTTGGGGGTATTCACAACCATCAAATTCTCTCTTGCTTCAACAACCAACTGATTAACACCTTTGGGGGTATTCACATTAAAACTATATTTGTAGCTAACAACAAGAAAGCTTTATTTCAATTTTAAGATATACTTCTCAAAAAAAAAAACTTAAGATATACTTCTGCTACTTTTAATAATTTTGAAATAAGCTCAGTTTATTCATATCCAACAAGAATCTTACATTAACAAAAAATCCATGCTAGATTGACATGGGCACCCCTAGGTGGGTTTGGAAGGATGCAGGTAAATTAATAATTGGTAGCAGGATTGCAAAATGAGCTTAGTTCAACTAGTACCAACATTTTTTCATGACTAACATAAATGCTTTGAAATACGCGAACTATTTGCAAGTTGCAACCTCCTTAAAACATAATATCATAAAACTATGCTCTTACATAGGATATAACTAGAGGAAACAAGCCAACAAAGAAATGAATCAAGCACCTTCAGTCGAGCTCGCTGTTGCATTTGCGAATGAAGGGTCCAAACACTTGTTCCAAGGATGCGTAATAGAGATGAAATGTGGCGCAGAGCAGCAATTGATGTACAGAATACAATTGTTCGGCCTTGCCCATGAACACTCAAAATGTAATACAAATAGGCATCTTTATCTTCTTCCCTGCATCTGTAAACAACACATTTTAGTAATATGCTATGAATATAATTTTGTCCCTTAAATAACAAGAATAAAAGAAAAGTGAATTTTGTTACAGATGAATATTGTTTCATGTCCCTAAAGTTAAGTTTTCATGTTGTTACAAGAAGTAGACCACATTCTTTTTTCCTTCTCTCCTGATACAAACATGAGCATGCACAAATATTTTTGTTGTTGTACATGTCAAAACATGTTTATCTGAATTGCTACTAAGCTCAATATATATGTTTTTTTTCTTGAAACAGGTAAAGTAATATATTGTATTAATCTCACAAGGCAAAAAGTCCATATACAACTAATTGCGGTACATGGAAATGTACAGCTTTATTCACTTTACACTATGTAATCATACCCAGAGTGTTTAAAAAAAAAATCTTAAAAATAAAATAAGAACTTGTATTTCTGCCTTTAAACGCTTGTTACTTGACAACCAAGTGGGTGTTTGGCATCGGAGCGTTTCACAAGCGTTCCGTTTCTGCTGATGTGTCATGCGTGCCACATCAGCAATTAAACGGAATAGGCAAGAAAATAGCATTTGGCAATCATGTTTTTCAAAAAAAAAAGAAACATTTTTGTAATGATTAGCTTTGGAATTCGGGAAAGGAGGGGTTTCTTGAAACGTCAAAGTGGCGTTTCTTGAATTGCCTTGGTGATACTAAATCACCCTGGTGACATTGCATATTGAAATTTGAAAAAGCTAACTACGTTTCTGAGATGTCACGCAGTTGCCATTATAAATATATTATACTGTTAAGTCAAATCACTTTAAATGCCCAGTCAGCCTGCACCCTGATTTTTTGTGTTTTTCCAAAAAAACAGGTGAAACGAAACACTTGTGAATCAGGGCTCACTTGTGAAACAGAACGCTTGTGAWTCCAGTGCCAAACACCATGCAAGATAGTACCTTCCACATAGCACTATGAGTAACCTCTTCTATTTTACTTGCTTTGTTTTAAAAAATACACTTCTTTCTTTACTTTCAAACTGACCACAATACTGCTACCAGAATTACACCTTATGCTACCTTCCCTTGTTTACTCAGACTCGGACCTCTTAAATCTCATCCCTTAATCTCTAGAACTGAAGCAGGCAAGCAGCTTCTTATTGCAAACAGACCTACCATTCTTGTCCATACACTGTTGGAGAACTTACTGTATAAGAGCAGGTGGTCAATAGTCCCCAAATTTTCCCAACACAAGACACAACTTGTATCAGCAACCTCCATTCCTTATCTCACCAGGTTGCCTCTAGTCAGAATAATATCTGAAGTAGCAGACAAGACAAAGAAATCCACTTTGGAGGGTACATCTGCCACTCTGTTGCTGGGGAAATCATTCTTCGCATTAGTGGTTAAGCTTTTATAAAAATATCTGACTGAGAATAAGCCAGATTTATCCCGGTCCAGATTCTTTTATCTTCACTTCTTAGGACCACCTGGGTGCTATTGAGATTTTGTAGCAGTTCCATCATTGGGGAGTGGGGACACCCCCCAATCAATTCAGGTTTCTCTTGAATACGGCATTTCAACTGACAGCACCATTCTTCATTTGGCATTTMAAATKMAGTTGCCCACCTTACAGTGGATAAGAAATGATAAACATTCTTTTCAAGCTTCTTGCACATAAACATAAACTTGTCACATGAAAGCCTCTTAATTTCAGGTGATGAAGCAGCTAAGCAAATGCTTCCACCCTTGGTTGTACAAGGTTCCCCCAGAGYCCTTTTATCGGAAAAATGCTACACCAAGAAATGGCAACCCTATTTTTCAGCATAACATTCCTTGCACTCTATGATGAGGAACTCTTAAAACCCTCTGATATTCCATATGAATTCTTATATTAAAGGAGAATTATGAGCAGCATGCTTGAGTCTAGTAAATTTCCTTGTTCCCTGCTCCTTTATGGATCTCCTTAGCTCCCTAACTAGGAGTGGCCATTTGTAGCCCAGCATGGCCCAGAAATTTCTAGGCTTGAGTCTAATGTTTTGTGTCCAGGCCCAGCCCGCAATTACTTATCTATATCTGTATATTAAAATGGAACGTGACAAGCTGGCACTTTCATGATTCCTGGTTATTCTGAAAATCGTTTATCTTTTTTTTTTCCTGGTTGCTTTTGAGAATCACTAATGTTTTTTCTGGTTTTCTTGATTTTTTTTTCTCATTTTAAGATTGAGCAAAATAACTCAAGTGGCCAAAAAGCTTTAAGACTTTTATATCCTCTCATTAACTCACCATTAACTCCCTCTCCTCTTTCTCATTAACTACTTTAATTATCTCTTCTCATTAGTTATGCCATTAACTCTCTCTCTTCTTCATTACTCCATTAAATTGCCCAAAATTCATTAACTTTATCTATATYTATATCCATTTTAATTTAACTATAATTTTATATGCATTAGACATATTTATATTAAATTATAATTATCAATAAAAAATAATTATATTGAAATGGAGATATTCAATGATATATTATTAGGCTAAATAATCTACTTCAATTTAAAAGATAATTAATTAAGTAATTTATATTTCAGAATAAATATTATTTAATTCACTCAACAAATAAAACCAACTTGGAGGCTGAATAGTTTTTGCCTCTGGGTCACAGATCAATGGTTCGATTGTCTGGGTTGGACAAATCAAAGCATGACATCATCCATTTGTATATGTATAGTATGATATAATATAATTACATTTTGTGTGTTTATATTATTTTGTACTTTTTTATTTTAGTTTTTAATTTTTTATAAATAAAAGAGCCAAAAATTGAAATTTGAGACCAAAAAAGAGTTTTTTTTGTATAGTTGGGTTGCAAAGATTGTGAATAAAAAAAGATCATCCCAATCAGACAACTGAGCTCAAAGTTAAGTCCTCTAGAAGTTTTCAATACATTGTATATTGTAACCCATGACCAAATGACTAGACCAAAAGGGTCAATGGTTCAACCACCTAAGTTGAACGGGTTTTGACCAAATCAATGGTAGGTTTTAGGAAACCTAAAATTAGAATAGGGCCGAGTGATGATTCGAAGGGTTTAACCATCTAAGTAAATGATGAGTTGAACACATTGGATAAAACATCATAAAAATTATAAGCCATTTAAAATAATAAAAATTAATTAACAATAGCAAAAACCACCCATATTGTTTTGAAAAAAGGAATAGATATTTTCCTTCCGTTAGCATTCGAAATAGAAAATGTTGATGTAATCCATTAATTTTCTTTAAATGCCAAATTTACCCTTAACCAACTTTAATCAAAAATAATTACAAACAAAAAAAATCTTGTTAAAAAAATATTGTTACCTAAAAATAATACAAAAATAATTACAAACCATAAAATTTTAAAAATTAATAAATAGTTTAGCATTAAGATACCAAAAATAATAATACAAATTTATCTAGAGCAAAGGAAATTAGTTACTCTCACTAAAGTGCAACTTGAATACTTGAATTGTGATCAAATAAATAAACTAAACATAACCCAAAAAAAAGAATGCTTGAATTGGACTTAGATGAGCATCGTTTAATTGGAAATGTCATAAAGCTCCTTTCTCAATTGTTATCGTGCATCGCACAGGTCCCGATTAGTATATTATAAATACAAATATTATAATTGTACAAAAGGACACCTAACTGAATTCTAATTGTAATTGCCTAATGGGTTGCCTATTTGGTGTAAAAGATTATAGAAAGTTAGAAACTAGGATAGATTGCCTATTCTAATTGTAATTGCCTAATGGGCCTTCTAGTTCTAGTAGAAGACTAGTTATAGTTAAGTAGGAAACTACTCAAACTAGGAACTACTGAACTAGTCTACTAGTTCGGTTCGGGTCGGGTTGGAAAACCGAAACCGACCCGATATATCGGTTTATATATTTTCCCAACCCGAAACCGACCGGTACTGATGAAAACCCGGCCAACTCGGGTTGGTCGGTTTGATCAGGTTGGGCATTCTTATGAACAGCCCTATATAAAACATATTTAACATATTATATTTATAATCATACACCCRAAAACTGGCCCAGCATGGTTATTCCCCCACACCTTCTTCACCTACAAGTTAATAAAAACACAAAATAACAGGAAAAGCAAACAATGCCATCTAGTTGATGTGCAATCCATCTCAAGAATAGAAACCCAACATAAAAAACTCTCCAATCAACTCCCTGATGAGGGAGTTATGCTTACTTTTTTTTTTTTTTGATAGGTAAGTTATGCTTAAAATTTCAGTCATAGCTTCTGCAGTTTAGGAGTTAATGAGTTTTCTTATGATAATGACAATTCTATAATGTTTTTTTCCTAGTTCTAATAGGATTGGCCACCTCAATGGTGTCAATATAAATGCATAAAGTGCAAAAACATATTGAGTTTATTTGAATTCTTATAGCTTATACTGAAAGTGGTGAGATCCACACCTTAGAGTGAGGAGAGGTACATCGCAGCTAGTAGCTGATCAAAATTTAACTACGTATTTTGCTTCAATTAGAATGATACTTTATTTATTCTTGTGAAAGCAGGTGATCATCCCCAAAACTCTCAATGAGACAGTTGGAAGTCTTGTGCTCCAATTTTTGGGAGGATAATTGAGGTAGGACATGATAGGGGTCCTATAAGTTTCAGATCTAATGGTGGCCTTCGTGGGGAAAAAGAAGGGCTTTGGGTGATTAATGAGGAAGATAAAACTTAAAAAGTAATATTTGCAACTCACCATTGCCTCAAAATGGTCGAACTGATTGACACATCACCCAGAGACAATAGCAGATTTGTTTTACCCCAAATTTGAATAACCTGTTAACTTGATTGATTAGAAAACCATCAAGTCAGACAGTCAAAATGGTGAATCATTCAAGCCATTCATGAGCCACATTTCAAACTAATCAAGCACTTCAAATTTAAAGTATGACATCATCATCATCATCCATGCCTTATCCCAACTATATGGGGTCGTCCTGTTTTTCCAATCTGTTCTAGTTAAAGCCATATGACCTATATATATATATTAGAACACAGAAGATACCTATTTTAGAACAACGATAGAGCATAATAGAGTTAGCATCATTAGGCTTCTCCAGGAGACAATACCTTTGCAACTTTAAGTCAATATCAACCCACAGAAATGTAAGAAATAATTTAGTTTATAGATAAACCAAATGGACATTCAAAGATCTACATATGAAAAGCCTAAAACTGAATTGGTATCCACCATATCAACTTGTATCATAAATTATAATTCCCTTGGAGAAGAATAAATATCAAATCTTTCCATCCACTATTTAGCTGGTTGAGACCAGATAGAAAAGAGCTTACTCAATGAACGACTCCTCAAGTTTATCTGCCATTATCAAAGCATTTGTTAAATCAACAATAGCAGTATCAGCTCTCATTCCTGCTCGCTCGGAAAGAGTTTCTATAGAGTTCATCCCATCAAGCATGGACTTTTTTGATTTAAGTGCTCCACGTTTTAGCTTTTTACGGAAATCAGCAGATAATGCTATAGTTGCAGAAAAAACAAATGTTTGCCTTTTCTTTTTCTGGAGGTTCGGAACTGTTGCACAGTTCTTTGTCATATTGGAATTCTCTCCTCCAGAGCCACTAGTCATAGGAAGCATGTCAATAATAGATTGCAACTCGTGAAAATGCCCAGTCTCTATCATTCGATCAGCCTCATCCAACACAAAGAAAGATAAAGAGTGCAACTGGGAGAAAAAAYAAAAGCCCATAAGAAACAGCATTTAATCAATGTGATGAATGCCACTGACAAACTGCTAAGAAGTATCAGTATATAATAAACAATTTGTAACTCCAGTATGCAAAATGATAAAATTATTATATACAATACAAATAATTTTCTTGGAAAGTTTGAAAACCTTCCTTGGGTGCTTCAGTCTTCCAATACTATTGCAGATTCCCCATCTAGTAAAGGAGTAAAAAGGAAGTGTCTAAAATGGGGAGGATATCCTTTAGATTAGTCTTTCTGATTTATAATTCTTCGTATTATGTTGTTCAAACACCACTAAAGACCTTCCTTAACATGTGCATTTTGTGTAATTCTGTCAATCATTTTAGACTACTTGATTCCCCTAATTCTTCAATCTTCATAATCTACACTGCTGTTGCACTGTACCATCTGTTAGTAATGTGATTCTTTTTATTAACCTCAAGCTTCCAGTAGCTTTCAGCATTGCACTAAGAACTCCACTGCTAGCACAAAAGGAGTGTGGAGAGAGGATTTCCCTGCTTTATGCCTCAAGCTTTCACTAGCTTTTACCATTTTATACTTGCTTAGAACTACTCTCCTCCAAAGAGCATCCATCTCCCTTCTGAATCTCCATGACCATTTGATCAACAATGCTTTATTTAGGTTTCTTATTTTCCTCATTTCCATTCCACCCATTTTCCTAGGCCTGCACACCTTATCCTACTTGACCAAACAAATCTTCTTCACATTCTTACCTCCTTCCCAGAGAAAGCACCGCTGAATCTTCTGTAACCTATTTGACAACCCAAAGCACCAACACACTTTTAAAGAAGCCCAATGTCAATCTCTCCCACCCCTATCATCAAACTCTTGTTCAAATTTATCTTTAGCCCTAGAGGCTTCAAATATTTTAAGACAGTTCTAAGATTCAAGGCTTGAYCTACCAAAGCATTAGTAAACACCAATATATTTTTTTGAAAAAGATGGTAACTTTATTCAAAAGGCAGGAGGTACATGAGTGTACACAGAAATTACAACTCAAAAAGGTAAACAGGAAGAAAGCTATCACTAATGACTAAACATGAAACCCCTGTGAGCGCCAGAATAAACACYGATTTATCATCAGCATATTGTAAGTGTGTCTATTATGGACGGCCCATCCTCCACCACTTGGAAGCCCTCTATTAACCTTGAGCTTTCACTAGTTTTCAGTATTGTGCTAGGACCTCCACTACTAGCACAAAAAGGAGTGAGGAGAGAGGATCTCCTTGCCTTATGCCTCTAGACACTTGAAAGAATTCCCTTTACAACCCACCCAAAACTGAAAAGGATACCAATGACAAAAATGAGTACACTTATTCTCTCCATCTTTCACCAAAACCCATTACTCTCATCACCTCTTCCAAAGAAACCCCATCTACAGTATCATAAGCTTTCTCCAAATCTATTTTACAAATCCAAATAACCTAGCTACTATGTTCATGAGTCCAAGTGGATTATCAAGATCCACAATGGAGTAATAAATACATTTTAAGTTGCAGGTACATATTTTATGCATCTGTATTTCTTTCTTCTGTTAACTAGCATGGATTCATCAAATTTGTTCATACATGAAGGAACTATATATACATAGCAAATTTTCATGCAACAGTGACTACTATTTGAATGAGTGCTCAATATGAAAAACATTCACTAGTACTAACTTCAGAAAGGTGTTCGTCCCCTCCCGACATAAGTTCCCATAACCTTCCTGGTGTCCCAACAACGATCTCAGGCTTTCTCTTCAAAAGTCTCTCYTGCTTTTCTGTTGACATGCCACCCACAACAGGAATTATCCTGATATTGGTGACTTTGGCAACTTCCTTGAGGTGATCAGTGACCTGAAAACCAAAAGGTTGAGGGTTTATATTAATGGTTTTAAAAAAGCAAAAAATTAAAAAGATAAAAGAAACAATACTTTTCCCAAATAAAAAATCAAAAAACAATTTAGTTCTATGAATAACAGCAAGTGCCAATGATGCATATTTGTGAAAAAGCATAAAGAGATGAACCCAGAAATCTAAAGCTGGCATCTAGTCAACTAAGATAGCAATAACAAATCATGTTTCTACATTCTATCATGATGACATCTAATTGTTAACTGTTATGACTGTAGAAGGGGTATACTGTAACTTACATAAACACGCCTTTCTATGTGATGCATGAAAAATAATTGCTGAATTCATACTTTATAATGCAGCAGTCACCAGATGCATGATTGTATGACTTGCCAACTAGAAGCAATTCCAAATCATACCTTTAGCATGATGAAGTCTAAGTTTTATGGCCAGACATTATGTTAACATGCAATTCTCTGTGATGCTAGAAAAATAATTGCTCAATGTGTCCTTTGTTATGTGCAGCCACTAGGTGCAGGATTGTGGGACCCAGATACAGAATGCCTCAATGTTTTGAGGATGGAGGTGTGGAAGGTGGTAGTGGATGTGCAGAAGACTGGGAAGTGGAAGGAAACGGTGGAAGTGCTTCGTGCAAGTCTGGTAGGAAGAATTGTAGGTACAGAGGTGGAAACTAAGGAGTTTGAGAAATGGGCGATGTTGGAATGGGGAAGAGAGAAGGTTTTGGGGGTGAGAAAGCTCAACGCAGAACTGTTGCTAATTATGTTCAAGAATAGAAACTTCACAGAGTAGGTTTTGAAGGAGAGAACAAAGGAAAGAAATTTCAATTTAAGACTGGGATGGTGGACACCGGCAGCCGGAAAGGTGAAGAAAAGGAGGAGGGGAGCGACGTGGATAAGCATAGTGGGGATACCTCTTCATGCCTGGTGTATAACAACATTTGAGGAAACAGCAGCAGCATGTGGAAACCAGATTTGGTGTGATGACAGAAATAGGAAATGGGAGAAAGTAGATGTGACAAGAATTTTGGTGGAAGTGGAAGRTGTGAGTGAAATCCCTCAAGCTCTAAGCCTGGTATTTGCWGGAGAAAGCTACGAGCTGAGACTGTGTGGAAGGGATGGACGGATCATTTAGTAGGATAATAGAGCAACAAGAGGCAAATAGTTTCCAGGAAGAACGGAGGAAGGAGGATGAATCGGGGAGGAAGAAGAAAGAAGAGAGCTCAACCGGTGGTTCAGAGGAGAGGATGGAGAAGAAGGGGAAGTCGAAGAGACGAAGAGAAGAGGAAGAAGATGCTGAGCTGGAAAAGGCAATGAAAGGAAGGCTACAAATGGACGGTGGGGATGAGAGAAGAATTGAAAAAAAAAAAAAGAAATGGGTGGGAGTCGATGGGTCAGGGGATAAAATAGGAATTACATCAAAAGAAAAGGGGAAGAAGCTAGAGAGAGAGGAACCGGTGCCAGCCGGTAAAAGAGAGCTTGACCTAAAGAAGTTTAACAGTCTAAATAGGTTGGCAGTTAATCTTAAAGCAAGGGCAAGATTTAAAAAGAAGGGACTAAAGAGGGGCATTTCTGGAAAAATATACATTTGGCTGAATGAGAAGAAGTTYGATAGTCTAATAACAGATCGACTGCTCACAGAAGGAAAAGAAGAGGAGAAATGGATCTAGGTAGTGACGAGATACGATAATGAAAGAGAGAAAAGAGGACAGGGAGGTCAAGAAGACAAGAGAGGGCTGCCAAGAACAGGGGAAGAGCTCCAATCCCAGAAGACAGAGACAGCAAAAAAAGCCCACAGTGCGAGGAGAAAAGATGGAGGAGTAGGAGAGAAGAAAGTAGATGATGGATGTCTTGCTCAGGCGAGCCATAGGGAGTGTGAACTGCATAAAGAAAAGGGACATAATAGGGAGTAAAATTTTAATGACAGACAAGGAGAAGTGACGGGGTCGCAGGGAAGTTCCTTCGAACAGGGAGAGGAGCATATCTCTTCTCCAAAAAATATTGTTTCGGAGGAAGGAGCAGAGGAAGGGGGGAAGGTAAGAAGAAAAAATTGTGACTCCATCTATACTGATTTGACTCTAAGATCCGAGGAGGTGAGTCAATACTTCGTACCGGACACTCCTCTACTAGAAGGATTATATAAGGAGATTAGTGAGGGTGAAGAGAGTTTAAAAGGAGGAGAAAGGGAGAAAACAAAGACAAATAGAAGACAGAGGGCAGGGGAGGAAGGAGGAGAATCTCAAAACAAGGTTTATAATAGGAAAAGGAGACAATCGGGTCTACTACAGAGTCAGGAAGAGGGGAAAGGAAGGAAAAGGAATGAAGTTAACAAAATAAGGGAGGGGGAAGGACAGGAGGTAATTGTGCACTCCCCTCAAATTGTTCAAACTGATTCAGAGGTAATACAAGATGGGAAGGTAAATATAGAAAAGATGGTAGAGAGGGAGGTTCAGATTGGGAAATCACTTGGATTAGTCTTTGGGGAGGGGAAGACTTTGCCAAAATAGCATTCAAGAAATTCGAGCAGAAGAAGAAAGAAAAGAAAAAGAAAAATCCTAGAGAAAAACAAGGGGTGGAACGAGGAAGAGGAAGAAGAGGAAAATTTGGACGAGAACGAGTAGAGAGGAGTAGGATAGTGGGGGGAGGGGAAGAGTCTCAGTTGGAACGTGAGAGGTTTATGGGATGGAAAAGACAGGAAATGGTAAGAAATCTAATTAGAAACATCAAACCAGATGTGGTATTGTTGCAGGAAACAAAACTGGAAAGTTTTGACTTGAGATTGAAACTGGATATTTGGGGAGAGGAGGGTGCAGAATGGGTGGATCTACAAGCTTCGGGATTGTCAGGAGGGGTTGTGACAATTTGGAGTTCAGAAGTCTTCAAAGTTGATTTATTGGAATTTCTGGAATTCACTTGAGTTACAGCCTTGTAATGTAGATGCATTCTCAGTTTAATGTTCTGGACATGTAATTGAAGTATGTACTTGATGTTGTTGGTGTGTCATCTAGACAACCAATGTGATAGGATGTAACCTTTTCTTTTAATAAATTTTCTTTCTTATTGATTCTTCAAAAAAAAGAGAATTCTTAAAATGTACAATAATTCAGGTAGAAACCTTTTACAATAGTTCTTCCCTTTACTATGTCCAAGTTAATAGAAGAGTGGACATCTTAGATGCCAGGAAATTGTGGTGTCAGAAGCAATTGTATGGGTTCCTAGACTTTTGAGAAACATAGTTGTTGGAATGAATCTACAATAACTATCTTGCTACTTTGAATCATGTGTGCAGAACAATGAAGTGGAAGAACTAGATGGACAGAGATTGGAGGCAAAGAGGTAGAGTAGAGAAATCAGTCGTTGATTTTGATAACAATGACTAGGATGGATCACTATGAATGGTTAGAACCAAATCAGAAGAGAGGGAGAATAGGCAAAGGGAAGTAGGGGCAACAAAAATGAGAGCAAGGCCTGTAATTATAAACTTGAGAAGACTTTAATTCAGATTCAGTGGTCTCTGGTTAAGGGTAGGGATATTTGGTGGTGTATGATGGGGTTCATCCTGGCAATCTGAATGTCAGTGGATTAATAAAGTTTTTTAGAAGATAAAAAGAAAATACATAGAAAAGTGATAAGCAAACACCCAAGAGAGCCCTATTAAAGCATCCCATTAATGCCACAACTTGGCCCATCAAACAATTCTGTTAGGATCGACAGTACAGGGGTTTTAAGTCTTTTGTCTATATAATTAAGGTTGAATAGTGTATTTTGTCTGAGTTTAAGTTGTGTGCCCCATACTTAATGTGGGACAACTTTGTCTTTTGTAATCCAACACATAGAATATAAATACAAAGTGGGTCCGCTGGGTGAAGTGACTTCTCCTGGACCGAACCCTTTCTTCTCCTCTTTCTCTCTTTCCCCTTCTTCTCTTCTTCTTACATGCTTCAGACCTAGAACTAAACTAGGGATAATCAATCTATTCACATGGTATCAGAGCATTAAGAAACCAGTTTCGAACTCAATCTTCTTTCATCACCCTTCGTCCTCCTGAGGTCGCCATGTCAGAATATTTTTTGGAGTAACTTTTAAACAGATTGGAGGATCGATAAGGGACCAAAAAAGGAGTGATCGTTTTCCCTTCTTGGAGGTAAATATGCCTCCAGTTGCTGTGGTGGTGACCGTTGTGGTGGTGAATTAAATATGCCCTTACTCAATCGTACAAAGGGGACTGGTTGTGGACAAGTGTGAACTGAAATTCCTATTAGACTAATAGTGGAGTGTGGTTCATTCTTTTTGGGCTGGATTTCATTCATGTGGCAGTGTGGATTGGTAGGTATGCATATGAACCTCTTTCTTTTCTGTTTATACCTGGATATGTGCTTTGATAGTAGGGTTTTCAAGTGCTGAACTTATGACGGCAGTAGTGTGGACATAACTATATTTTATTGTGTGGTGCGTGGTGTAGTGCTGAATAGTAGAGGGTGACTCTTTTGTTTATCATAGTGAATTCTTTGTGGGGTCAGGTGAATTGGTTATGATGGCATCTACTGGAGAGGGTAATGATAATAAAATAGGTGTTATGATTTCTCCTGATTACTTAAATGTTCAAATGACCTCTATCAAATTAAATGGTGAGAACTATGCTCCATGGGCTAAATCTGTGGAGGTTTTTTAAGAGCCAAGAAAAAGGTGAAACATGTAAGAGAGGAGAAACCCTCTTCTGATTCTCTAGGGTTTAGTGATTGGGAACAAGATGATGCACAAATTATGACCTGGTTGTGGAATATCATGGAACCTAAAATTAGTGTGAATTTTATGTTCCTGGATACAGCTAAGGAAATCTGGGATCATGCTAAGAAACTTTATTCCAACCAAGATAATACCACTAGACTTTATCAACTTTACCAAGAGTACTTTAACCTGAAGCAAGGTAATCAAAGCTTGGAAGAATATTATGCAAGCATGAGAAACCTCCGTAATGAGCTTAAT